AGTGGAGTGTAAGAGACTTGCACGGTGGGAATGGACACACCTCCCTCTACACAACCTCATTGGGAAACACTGGTTCAGTGATGCTCAGAGAGGAGAGAGCAGCCAGGATCCACACTAGACACTATGAATTGGGGCAGTTATACTTTATATAAGGAGATGCCTGGTTCATTTTACATTTTGAAGATTTACGAACCAAGTTAACAAACATTTGTGATTATGAAATTTTAAAGTAGCATTCCAGTCAAATCCTAATTATACCTAAATATACTCCCACCCCCATTCTAAGCTTAATCTAACTACCCTGTGAAAGGAAAGATGTTTATACTTACCTATGCTGAGGCCACTTCTGTATAGAGTATGGAGGAGTGACAGATGTCAATGGATGCCCTGTAGGTGATGCCCTGTGGGTGATGTCATCACCCAGGTTCTGCATCTGTTGTAGGCAATCTCTCCTCTTCACTGAAGCCGGTTGCTGGAATGATCATATGACCAGACCGGAGCTCCCTAGGAAAAAGTAAGTATTTATTTATGAGGTAGTTAGAATAAGCTTGGAATGGGGGTGGGAGCAGGTTTGGGTATAGTTAGGATTTGACTGGAATGATACTTTACCATCTAAAATCAGTGCTACCTTCTTTTTTGGGGTCTTTAGAAAACAAACAAGGCCATATGAGCATTTTGGTCTGGCAAGGAAAGGGTTAAAATAGACCTTTTGTGAGAGAAATATGGGTCGGCCATCAATGACGTTTAAAAAAGCTGTTTGATTGGCCATTCTGCTTACTTGTGGAACTTTGTCACTTATCATTAGTATGTCATTTTAGGAAGTCGGAGAAAAGTCTGAAGTCCTTGTATACATACTTGTTTCAGGTCAGTGACTCAAAGTATTGAAACCACTGATGTGCAAGAAGAATTTTCAAAAGTAGAGGTCATCAATGACAGACCCCATATTGCTTTCTTGAAAGCTTTCCTTTAAAACCAAACTAGAGCCAGAATCGCCAGTATATTTTAAATGTTATATTGCCTTCACTTTCTTTTTATATTTTGAGCAGCAGCAGTACCAGGAGGTCAAAATTTACAAATCAAATCCCTGGCGCTGTGAGCAAATTTCTCAGTGTTGGATGGATAGTTTCTTGTCTCCCCCCCAGCATAGTTATGGGGAAGCCAGACTGTCAGTCGCAGCCTTGATGTCAAAGATAAACCTGCATTTTCTCTAACCATGGTGTCACTACTCTTTGCACACATTATTGGTCAGAGGAGATGATTAGAAGTGGAGATGAGGGCATAGCTGTTGACTTTTGATAAAAAAGTCAAACTTGGCATGTTCGGATGCTTGTGTTGGATAAAGATGGAATTAATTTAAATCAGCTGTTGGGTATTTGTGGGAGAAAAAGATTCTTTTGAAGCCTAATTTGCAATAGAATGCTGTTGCCATTAAATCTTTCTCTCCTCCATGTTGTAGTTTACATTTACATACTGTACATGTTACATAACCATAAGAAATAGTGCATTGTACACTCTTAGACAAAAAGTGACAATAATACTCTACCATGTTAACCTGTTGACTCCGACAGTACGCAAATATGCAGCCTCTCAGTGGCTGGGACTTGACACCGAGCTGCCTCATATTGGCGTACCAAAAGTAAACGAATGTGCCGAGAGCGCATGCCCTGTACGCTCCCGACTCATTTTAATGACTTGTTACTGAAAGGTCCCTCATGGAAAGGTTCCCGCTTCACGATTTTCATGAGATTCTGCATGTCACGCATAGAGCAGCCCATTTACTTGGTGCTGGATTCTTCGCACAACAACCACAGCAATATCAGACTGCATTTGAGGTGACATTAAGATTGAATGGCACCCAAACACACATTTTGCCATGATTTGGAATTGTGGGCACAATCGCTGTGATTCCAAGTCGCCATCTGTGTATGGGTTGTAAAACAAGCCCTCATTTTATGTATCTATAAGCACAGTGATCAAATGAATGTTCAAAGTTTACAATACTTTATAGGTGCAGCTTCTTTGAAAAGCAGATCTTGGCAGGCTCCCCGCCCTCTAATGTAAGCACACAATAAGGGTTTTGTAAGCTAGAAACAAATTTAAAAAAGAGGTAAGGACTTAGGAGCAGTTGTGCGTTTTTTTTTTTTTTTCAGCAGCCCCTGAACTCTCCTTTATGTTTTCCTATGTGTCCATGTACACATAGTCGTTTACAGGCAATTAAGGTTACAGGCATTTTTTTGAAAGCAAAAAAATCGAGTTCAGTAGAATTTACTGGCGTTTCAAATGCCAAACGCTTGTAACCTCATGTAAACGCATTTATGTGCGTTTGTGTTTAAATGCGTTTTTGGGCTGGTCCATATCCAGATGCTGTTCAGTGCCTTTTTTCTTCATCAAAAATGCATGCAGAGCGTTTTCCATGTACTCAAATGGACCTAGTACACCAGTGCAGTCAGTTCCAGGTTTCGCTTGTAGGACAAAATGGTAGAACGTCCTGCAATATTTCTGCACAGAACTGTACTGGAACACATCAAAAACACAGCAACAAAGCACAAGGAGTGTTGTGTGCACTCCAAAATGCATCCGGAGGCATTACAGCACTATGTAACTCCTCCCACAGTGCCAAGCATGTTTCACGAGCCAATTTTGCTACAGTAGCAACACCCATCAGAAAGTATTGCTTTCTCTGCTTCTGCTCTCTGTATTTCTCACAAAATTTTGAAATAGTTAATAATTTACTATTTTTCAGTGCATTCTGGGCATTTGGGAGGGTCTCCTGAGGTTATCTTTTAAAAACGCTTCTAAACATAAACGCGGCTAAACTGACGTTTTTAACCTACATTTTCTAGAAGTCAGTTTTCAGCATTCAGAAAAGTTTTTCAAACGCCCTGTGTACATGAGCCCTAAGGGTTTCTGGAAAAAAAAATGTATGCTGCATGCTCACCTAGGTGGATGCAGCATCTTCACCACTTCTAAGGCCTCTTGGCCACTGCTGCTTCTAAAGTGAGTTTTGGAGCTTTTGATGTTTTTCTTGCCCCTGAACTCAGCTCAATAAAAGCCTGTGTGTCCATGTACACATAGGCTGTTTACCAGAGTTTAAGAGGTGCAAAGTTTAGGGGCAGTTAAACGTTCCTCTTCTGAATGCAGAATATTCGCATTCAGGAGAGGAACATTTTGGGCAAAAAACGCTAAATGAATCAAAAACACAGCTAAACGCTAGCGGCATTTAGCGTTTAGGCGTTTATGTCGATGGAAAATACTCTGGCCAATCAAATGATTAAACATCCAAGCGCTAAACGCGGCACCATGTTTACACACGTTTTTGCTGTGTTTAATGTTTTTCTGCTGCCAAGAGAGTTTGACTAGGTGAGTTCATGTGTACATGAGGCTGTAGGCTGAACACTGAGCGATCAAAGACTGCAGGATGCTCAGGTCTCAGCCTTCCGTGAGCAGAGAGCCGGTAATTACTCACTGGAGTGCTGAGCTGTGGAGGAACCAGGAGTGGCTGGATCAGGCTCTAAGCGGCATGCTGAGAGGCTGAGCCAGCTGCCAGTCCAGGCATCTGGATGGAACTGTAAAGCTAAAAACTGGTCACTGGAGTGCAGAACAAACTGGCCTTCTGTGATCAATAGGAGAAATAGTCCCAAAATATCTCCTTTAAGCGTAACTTTAGGCCCCATTCACAACTGTGCTTTTTCGTACATTTTAGGTGCAGTGCGCTAAGGCTAAAAGTCCTGCATGTTGCCTTTTCATCACAATGCATGTTCTATAGAGTTCAGTGTTAACACCCCTAAACCTCATTACACCAAAAATGCATCGCACAGAACCGGCTCTTAGAATATTTGTTGTGAAATGTTTAGGATATTTGAGTATGAATAGCTATGGTTTAAAAGCAGCTACAGAGGTTAGGTATGGCTTGTTTTAAAAGCTCTAAGAATTGTTAATTTATAGAAAATAAAGTGAGTGGAAATTAAACCCACTGGTTAGGAACTACACTTTTGGTGTTCTCCTATTTTAATTAGACTTTAGTACCCATAAATGTTGACCAAGCAGACCTCATTTCACAGAAGTGTCCCACTTGCGTACTTTAGGAATCAATAGCCTTCTCTATACCGCCTAAGCACAAGATTAATAAAAGTATAGCACATGGTTCTAAGTAGAAAGCTAGCTGCTTATAATTCCATTTTTGAAGTTAATTTAGCTGTATTGGCTTGTGTAGTTAATGTAAATCACTTTCAGTAGCTTTGAGAAGCAAACAATTACCATACCATGCTACAGAAATAGATTTAACTTATGCAAACGTCCTGGCTTTCTTAATTTGGACTGTGTTCTCAGTCTTACACTTAACATAGAAATAAGAAAAGGGGACATGCTTCACAATTTTTCCATTATTTGACTGATCCTATAAAAAAAGTAGTCTTTTAACAACAGCATACATTTATTCCTCCTGAAAATGATCAGTTGTGTTATATTAAGAAGTGATATCCAGCCAAAAAAATCTTGTTATAAGGATTAATAATGTTTGGTGTTGATGCCAAGATGTACCTTGCTGGTCATTTTTGTTTTTAAACATATGGTTAACAGTCACCTTTATGTAGAAACTACCTACATCTTTAGAACATGTTATAATATAGTAATATAATATGATATTATATTATTGTACACAAGATACCAGTTAAATAGGATTTTGTTTATTTTTTAACTATATTGTATAAAATGTGTTAATATTTTACATCTTATTAGAACAGTGCTGTTGGAAGTAATATTTTTCAGATGAATTTCAGTCTATCCCATAGGAGAATGCTGGAAATGTTTACATCTATGTATTGCTAGTCTACAATAGCAGCTTAGAACAATAAGCAACTCCACAAATTCTCCACAAGCTTACATACGTGTTAAATATTTTATTTGGAACACTACTTGCAAGTATTTGGGAAACTTCTTTAACATAGAGTAACGATTCTGTCTTTTGGCATGTCTGACCTCAAAACTTCTACATCCTTTAGGTCTCTGATGATGGTCGGTATGCACTGTTGTCTATCAGTGAGGGTTGTGATCCGGTTAACCGTTTATGGTATTGTGATTTGCACAAGCAACCACATGGCATCAATGGTGAGTTTTTTTTCTTGATCTTGACTATCCTTTTTTTTTTTTTCCCTTGTGAGCAGATTACCTAATTTGAAACTGTGATGGTATGAATGTAATGTTCATTGCAAATCTTGCAGCTGATCTGGTATTTTTTATATGGCAACTTCTAGAACTCTGGTTGTTCTTTTCATTTAAAATGACTGCCTCCTCCTGAACATAATAATACTGGTAAGTGTGTGCTTAATCAGCCGTGCAGCAAGTCGGATAAAGGAAAGCAGCAGGAACTGATCTTTCACTGATCTTGTACAATGTAACCTGCAGATCACCACCCTGCTTTTCGAAATTGGCTGCTTTTTCCACATTAAAATGCTTTTACCCTTGCCACTGCAACTGTAAATTAGGTGATTATCTCATGTATGGGAAGTGAAAGTTAATAGACGTATAATTGTACATGTCAAAGAGTTTGCAGTGTGAAGTAATGGCTTGCTTAAAGGAGATTTGATACTCATGAAACTATGACTTTGCATGACCGTGTCTTTAAATAACGCAAGGCAATAATGGATAACCTTTTCTTTTCCTACACAAAAAAGTGTTCCAGTGTGAACAACGTTAGGTGATTGGTGAATGCAGAGATGTCTGTTTTTGGTACAAGATTTTAGATCAAAGCTAGGTAAATACACTCGCTGCAAGTTGAATTGTTTACCCCTCTTTGTGACAGACCTTAGCTGACCACTAACGTAACCTGTAACTATTTTGACACTACAGTGCATATTTACCTTGACATGAACCTGTTGGATGATCAAATGTGGTCAAACTAATATGTGCAGTGCCCCCCCCCCCCCCCCCCCTTTAAAATACACACATTGTGTTGGTTTGCAGCCTGAAATGAGGACAGCTGTATTTACATCCAAGTGAAAGATATAACGCCAACATGTCAGAAAAAAATTTCAAAAACAAAAAAAAATCACTGAGTCAGAAAAAGGATAAGGAGATGGATACAAAACATTTCAAAGGCTTTATCAATGTCTAGAAAGCACAGTGAAGTCTATTATTAAGAAGTGGAAGATATTTGGTACAACATAGACCCTCCCTGGATCAGGATGTCACTCTAACCTGGACCAAAACGCCAGGAAGAAACTGGTCACAGCTACCAAGAGGCCCACAGCAACTCTGAAGCAGTTGCAGGAATTTATGACAAAGAGTGGTCATTGTGTTGCAAGAAAAAAAACACTCCTCAAGAAAGGCCACTTGCAGTCATGACTGAGCCTTGCCAAAGCGCACCTTAAAGATTCTGAGGCCACATGGAAAAAAGTGTTATGGTCAGATGAAATTAAAATTGAATTATGTGGCATCAACACTAAATGATATGTCTGGCAGAAATACAATACAGCTCACCATCCAAATAACACCATCCCTACAGTAAAGCATGGAGGTGGTAATATCCTGTTATGGTGGCGTTTCTCTGCAGCAGTGACTGGAGGCACTTGTAAGGATAGAAGGAAAAATGGATGCGGCAAAATACTGTAAATTTTTTCTGACACGGTGTTATATCTTTCACTTGGACGTTGTGAGTAAATGCATCTGGGTAAAACAAAAACTATCTGTCTTCATTTTCAAGCTGCAAAGCAACACAATGTGATTATTCTAAAGAGGGGTGAATCTTTTCTATACCCATTATTTGTTAATCTTCATCTATTTTTTTTGGGGGGGGGGGGGGGTCTGGGAAGCTTCTGAATAGTGGCCCCCCATTATGCAAGGGACTGTGGCATGTGCCTGTCTGATTTGCAGCTTATCCCTAAACACCTAGACTTGGACAGCCCTTACTTAACAGTTTTGTGTGGGAGCCTCTGTGGCCAGTACCATCAGCCGTGTTGAATGCAGAAGCCATGCTTAGTACTGGGGTAGGCAGATCTGTTTTACTGGGGTCTTAACCTCACAAAACTGGCTGTATGGAATTAAAAATCTTTTGACGTTGCCCTTTTTTATTCTGACTCTTATTGATTTTTAATAAAGTTCCATAACCATAACAAGTGCCAAGTATACAAGGAATACATCTCATTTTACAGAGTTTGCTCCAGGATTCAGTACATGTTAGGGTGAAAATGTGAGCAATGTGAGAACAGAACAACTTTATCGCTGAGCAGGAACAAAATAAAGCGAGAATGCCATCATAACCACTTTGAGTGACCAATCCCACAGCCCGATTGGAGTGCGGACTCTAGTGAGGTCAGAGATCAAGAGTCAGTAGCAGTTTCTGTATGATGCCACAACTTTTAGACTTTGTTGTATTTATTAGGTAAATTGTGGAGGAAGGCAGTAAAATATTCCATAAGATTGACATTCAGAATCCTTATGTAGTTCCATGAATGATAGGGGCTCAGTGCTCTTCCATTTCAGAACTACTAAACATCCCACCACTGTAAATATGTTAGGTTTTTGCTTATTTAGAGAAACCAGCTGGGGTGGGGGGTAGACCTAGAAGGTAGGTTTTGGGGGATAGGGGAACAAGGTGTCAAACATTGGGTGGATGACAGCATGAACAGTTTCCCAATATGCTTTGATAGGGTGGCAGTGGCACTATGCTTTGAGAAGGAGGCATTGCCATTATATGTGCTGTAAAGACCCAAGATCTTTCCACAATGTCTGCATCTGTCATTGGCTACACTTTATATAGTGCATAGATCGTGCTTATCGAAGCTTGTGGCCATTCTTTTTTTGCTGTCATTGGCTACACTTTATGTAGGGCACAGATCTAGCTTATCGAAGCTTGTGACCATATTTTGTGTGACAACTCTAGGAAAGTAACCTAGCCAGATTCCCTCTAATAGAATCCATTTAGAAAATTGCAAAGTGTTAGAGATTGTCGGGGCGTAGTGACAAATTTGCAAATATCCCTAAATCATTCCTTTTGGCAGGTCAAATCTCTTTTGAAGTTCTGTGAAGGACCTCCACTTTCTAGTGTTGTCACTAATCAGGTCAACAATTTGTTATTCTAATGTATATTTAGATGTTTACTTGGAGTTCAGCTTTAATTTACTGAAGCAGTATATACCATTTGTGCCATTTTCCATAACTACACATAAGTAAAATGACATGGCTTTGCACTGTTCCTGTGATTTTGTTTTTCTTGTGTTGCCTAAATTGACATTACTGAGTGAGTAAGGAACTATGGGAGCATGTGCTACTTCAAATCATTCTCATTTGCCATTAAAGACTTTCCTTTGGTGCTGTTATTTCTGTGCCAAAATATGGTAATTGAAATCCATTAAAGGAGAAAATTGGATCCCATCCCTTCTGATGCTTTGCATTATGAATTTTTCATTCCTTGGTGCCTGTTGGGAAGAGTTTTAATTTTCAGATTTGAGTTGGTTTCTTTTCTTCACTGAAAACCAATCGAAGCCATGAAGAAATACACAAAACTTGAATGAATTATTCACTCAGAATCCATAACAAAGTGACATTCGTTAATTATATATTACATTTAAAATATGTGGCTAGGATGTAAGTCTCTTTTCATGAGTAAAATGCTAAAATAGAAACTTTTATGCAGTTTAATATTTTGTGTGTTCTTACTGTATACCAAGATTGCACAAAACATGATAGTTTTTCACTTACATAAGTTTTGTTTTTTTCTCAATCCCTGTTTTAATTAGTACATTAGTCATAAATAGGCAAGTGTGTTAAATAGACATTAAGTAAGCAATACAAATTAAAGCCTAAGTCCAGTTAGCATATTTAAAACCGTTACAACATTTTTTTTTTCTTTTGGAAAAATGTTTTAAACTATATAAATAAAAGCTGACTATTGTAGGTACCCGCCAGCACTGTTTGTCCCAACCTCTCTAACCATGACTTTTGTTAGACAGTTTGGCTTGCATGCAGATGTAGGGAAAACATTAATAAAGCTATGTGAATAAAAAAGGAATTACTATCATTACAGATATTAACCCTATACAGTTACCGAAATACAATAGTTTTCGCTCTGGAGGAGCATTCTGTAGGTATAGCTGGGATTGGTGTGTCTGTTTTTTTACAGGCAAAATCTAAACATTCCTCTTTAAGATAAATAAAATTGGTAGCCACTCTAATTTATAACTAGCTTTTTAAAATAAGATGTACATGGAAGGGCTTTGCACAGAACAAACACAGTACAAAACATTCCCAGCATACTTAACCGACAGCCCCCATAATACTTACCTGAGCCTCATCGCGATCCAGCGATGTGAACGATAGCCTCGGCTGTCCCTTGTCTCCTCATTGGCTGAGACAGTAAGCGGGAGCCATTGGCTCCCACTGCTCTCAATCACAGCCAGTCAGCCAATGAGGGGTGGGGGGGGGGGGGGGCAAGTCGCGGCTCCGTGTGCTCATTGGCTTGCTGTGCGGGCACCTGACAGGAGAACATGCGAGGGACCTGAGAAGAGGGGATTCCAGGCTGCTCTGTGCAAAAACCACTGCACACAGTAGGTAAGTATAGAAAGTATTTTTTTTATTTTATAAAACAATAAATTAATATTTAGAATCGCTTTAATGTGATATTAAAGGCTTTGTGTTTTTTTATTATGCTTTATACTTATGTTTACATTGTATACATGGTTTTGCACAGAGCAGCCCTCATCTTCCTCTTCTTGGATTCCCCGCCGACGCTCCAGGCTCCTCCCTCATGCTAAGTGCCCCCCACAGCAAGCAGCTTGCTATGGGGGCACCCGAGAAGACTTGCTGATGTTTTGTGTGTCCATTCACACCGCCCTCTGCTCATTGGCTCACTGGCTGTGATATACAGTAGTAGGAGCCAATGGCTTCTGCAGCTGTTTCAGCCAATGAAGAGGGAGCAACCGGGAGAGCCGAGTGCGCATTTTGCTGGATCAATATAGGGCTCAGGTAACTATTGAGGGGGCTGCGGGCGCTGAATGCTTGAAGCTAAAACATATTTAGCCTTTACAATCACTTTAATGCATTCCCTTCATTAAGGTAAAAAATGTCCCAGTGTTTGTATCACCCCCTCACCACCCTTTATACTTACCTGA